CCCACGTTAAACCGGCCTTGTACCACATGACGCCCTCGTGGGGGGGGGTGACTGAATACTGTTCAGTCTGAAGTCTGTCAGTCAGAGCGAGCGAGTCAGTCAGTCGAGTCAGAGGCAGTCCGAAACAGAGTCGCGTTCAAAACAATTACTACTAAACCTGATTGTTCGTACTAACACTTTCTACTTCTCTGTATATATTCCTGTTTGTAATATATCTGTATTATTCCATATCCGTGTTCGAGTTCTTCTTTATTGCTTCTACCTTGGACTATCACCGTTGGTACAAGGAACCGGACCATAACAGCTTCACTTTTATTAAAGCTATCATCAGAGATTGATTGAGAGAAAACAGACAAGGAGACAAAAAACACTGGTATTTTCAACTATGTTTGGGTCAGTCTTCACTAGTCAGACACGTGTCACGTGCATTAAAAACGTATAATTCTATGCATATGTAAATTAGTGAAGATTCTTGTACGTCGAAGTGGCCATCAGAATGTAATGTGTGTTCTTAATTGTGCATTTTAATCTATTTAGTAAGAGTTCTGACGTCCTCATCTTTGTGCGGTCAGCCCGCGCAACGGGGTGTCACAAGGTTTTAATTTATGGCTGTCCTTTTAAAGCATGTATTCTTTGTATTAGACAGATATAAGTTAGATTATTTAAGAATGGATTCAATGAAAGATGGCGATGTAATGTAACGTTTTAGGCGCGTGTTTATAGTTGATAATAAAGTTATTACGTTTTCAGTGCATTTTCTCCTGACAGAATTACGTTTTTTTTTAATTAGGGCGGCGTTAGTTAAAGCAAATTATGTCCAACATCGGTTCTATGCAAAACGAAAGAGTTAGATCGTTTGTCTAAACGCAAGTCTCTCTTGTGTTCGTAGATGCGGGTTTTTAAATCACATGATGTCTACCCCGCATTAAAACATTTTTGCATTGTAAACAATGTATTTGATAAGTCCCGGCATTTGAATTGTTTTGGGGTTTATTATTTTTCCTAATTATGTCCCCGATTGTCTTGGATGTTTGGTAACGATCCTAGTATTAGGGATGACTAATTTGTTGGTGAGTTTAGTAAAAAGAGTGTTGGCGGGTAGGATTATGATTTTTGTGTAATTTTTGTTATTGGTGGTGTGTTTTTTTTAAATTTTGTTTAGTTATTTTTTAATTTTATTTATTTATTTTTTATTTATTTATTTTTTATTTATTTATTTATTTATTTTTTTGCTTTGTGGATTTTATAAGTGTGTTTTTTAAGCGTTGAAGATAAAATTATGTGAATGTGAATTTTTACGTTTTCTCAATATATTTCTCTTCTTCACTTAAGTATTCCGGGCTACATATTTTCATGGCTCAGAGTTATATATTAATAAATATAAATGTTATCCATCCTGAGTATAGATTGGCTGTTACGTAATTCAAATTTAAAAAAATATATCTGGCTTTAGTAATGTTGGCGTAGATATATATTATACTGAGATTACAGTTTTTTAAATTAAAAAATTATATTTGGCATTTAAAATAAACGGAATTTGTATCACAAAAACAAACTGTAATATTCCTAAAATATAAACCATAATTTTTTATTAAAATTTAATCTGAATCAAAGTATTTCAGCAGGTATTTATTTATTATGCCTACATGTATCCATCAATTCACTTTTCTTGCTTAATAAGGTCGGTTTATTTAAGTGTGGTCAGTCCGCGCAACGGGGTGTCACAGGGTTTTAATTTATGGCTGTCCTTTTAAAGCACGTATTCTTTGTATCGGTCTCACTCGCGTTGCGGTTACAGCACAGCAGCCATTACTGGCGTTGTTTACCTACATTTGCCTCGGGGCTGTTATTCAGTCATAGCCCTACCCTAATGTTAACTCTTGCGCAGTGATTGAGACGAGTAAGATCAGTAAAACGGCCGTTAACTAAGTAAGATTCCGCGAATCACTGCTCCAATGCGAATGTATGTACAAAAAAAAAAAAAACGCCAGTAAATGCAGACGCGAATGAGTCCGAACTTTTATTGTTGATAACTCCAAAACGGTAGAGTTTAGCAAAATTTGTTTGTTATTTTCGAATTAAGCATGTAAATTTGCACCTAAATCGAACTATTCGGGAAATTTTTATTAGTTACTTAGCGCGGGTCCTGTTATGGTGTACAACCATAGAAAGATAACACGGACTCTGATATAAGGTTAAAGAGTATATTCTCGGAAACGTAGTACAAAGGTAAATGTGGACTGGAGAGTATTTACTCTCACTGGTATCCTGACTCACTCATTCACTCACTCGGTGTCTACTACTCGGTGACCCTCACTTGGAGACTCCCTTTACTCAGAGTTGGTAGCCATATTATATAGGTGTGAAAGAGTCCAATTGTCGGTAGGTCCCCACAATAGGTCCTAAACTGCAAATTACCCTTATATTAAACAAATATATTTCCATCAAAGACAAGGTAAATATTTCTAAAAAAATAAATGCAACTGCCAAGGGAAAATAATATGTCCCATAAACGGTCAATGTATTACTGATAATATAGTATACCGAGCGATAATACATTCTGGAAACGATGTTAAATTTTATTTTTGCTCCACTGAATATCTTTGAGAATTTTGTTTTTACCATCATCGAATGGCCTTGGTAATATAAAATACCAAAACAGCACTGATCTCTCCAAATATTTCTGGGAATTAAGGAATGATGGCATCTTACCGTCAATTAAGTGGGATCTTATAACAAGTGCTCAATCTTATTCTGGAAATTTTATTAGAAACTGAGCTTGGGGTTTAAACTGCAAATTACCCTAATATAATGTTGTTACGCCGGTATATGGTTTTATCTATGTTATTAACACTTCTCTAGCTGATTTTAACAGTTAAAAATCTTCCTCTCTTTTTTTTTTAGTGTTGGTGAATGGTTAAAATGGTTATGGATTAAATTTAGGAAAATTCTTCCGGTATTAGTTTGAGCATTATGATCAAAATGTGAATTGAATCATATAACTTTAGTTTATTGTGTTTTTGTTTATTTTTTTTTTTTTGTCTAATTACTCTAACTTAACATATGATTGCTTAGTTTTAAAGCCTCTATATATTTAACTTTATTAGTAGCAAATATTTCCTCATTGCTGGAGTTGATAGATAATCTAACTTGGAGCAATTTATGTAAATTATCTTACAATTTCGGGGTGGTGGTTTGATCTTTACTTGCACTTCTATCTTTATACAACTGTTTGATATATGCTTTGTAATAACCATTATTTAAATTTAAGGTCACGTGGAGAAAGATGATCTCTTTAGCATTGGTGGTAGTGGTAATATTTAATTCGTGATCTTTAAAAAAAACTGATCAATTCCTTTCTCAATCGGTCTATATTACGTGGGCTTGAATTACGGGTGATAATTACACCGTCATCTCTATAGAGTACTGTGTCATTAATGTTGAAAGTAAATCTAAGTGTTCACTATAAAAATATTCCAAATAAATCGCATGCCTCTACAGAATCAAATACTCCCATTTCAATATTAAACTCTGAGATACTTTTTTTTTGATCCACAGGTAACCATTATGAAATAGTATAGGTTTTTGTGCCTGCTTTATATTTATTTCGAGATCGCTAATAGGACAGTTATTATTTTATTTTTTTTTTTTGGCTAGATTTCCATCAGCCATTAGCAGATTCTCGGTGATGGTTGGGTAAAATTCACAAATATCGAATTGGATGAATGTACATTCTTCCTTTTTATATTCGTAAACCATTCTATGGTTTCTGCTGTCTTAAGCCACTGGTTAATTCCTAGAGCATCTTTATTGTATTTGCATGCTCTTTCAATGATGTTTTTGCTGATTTTACCAATGTTATTTTTAGTTGGTTTGAGTCATCGGTATTGAGGGCTGTTTAGGAAATTTGCCTTTTCACGATTTTTATATATTTTCTTCTGCCTTTAGACTCTTTCTTTCTTTTCT